CGGAAATGTTGCCCTAGAATATGAGCATTGTCTACTATTGCCTAAAAACTCCATGCAATCGATGTAGGAGCGTAATGAAACGGTCTCCTTTTAACTAATTGATACGTGATTTTCCTAATCTATATATCCTAGTATAAAATTCGAAGTGAACAAGCAGTGAAAAAAAAGAGTGTTGCCCATATTAGGGTTTAGGATTCATATACAAAAAAGACAGGGAGGGGATTTTTATAGGACCCAAGAAATAAATAATGGGTTGGTGGGAGAAATGGAATCTGAGATGCAAGAAATGGTAAGTTGAGTAAATAGTGGTTTGGTGGGAGGGGCAGATTTAGAAAAGAAAGAATGTGAGAATTGAGATGGTGGCAGCAGCTCAGCCGCGGCTGGCATGGCAGACTGCCAGTGGTAATATTATTGCTTGTTAGGGGGTAGTGAAAGGTGGTGGCCTGTTGGGTTTTTCCTCACTGCCGCTGTCATCCCCAAAACAAAAGATCCCCACCACCACGACGCCCCACTGTACTACTGCAGCTGAGGTAGATGATGCAGTAAATAAACCGAAGGACATATATTGCAGTTGGAGTCCCTCTAGTTTATTTGAGTTTCCACTTTGGTTCTTGTAACTTTTTTGTTTCCATTTCATCGCTGTAGTTTCGTGTTGCTTTCATATGGCTCAACTAAAGATTTGTTTAGTGGAAATGTGTTGAACTCTTGTATAACAACGTGAGTTTAAATTTTGTTGGTGACTAATCTAACATCCAATCTAACAAAATCTATCGTTTAACAAAAAAAAAGAAAAAGATTTGTTTGGTAATTACCTTCATTTTTGTAAATAATGAAAATTGACAACCCAAAAGTGGAGGTTACCCATTTAACTTTTTAAACTTTTCCTTTTAATTTTAAAATTTTATTTTCTAAAACTAAAAAGTAAAACTAAAAACGAAATCAATTATCAATCAACGTTAAGTTTGTATGAAGAGATTTTATCTCATTTGACAGAATGAAAGTTGGCAGCAGTGGTGTAAAGCTATAAGGTAGAGGGTGGGATCATTAGTCGAGTCACTTCATTAGTCTTGGACAGTTAGATCTAGCCCTATTTTGATTTGCCAGTTTTTCTCCGTCATTCTTTTTTTTTTACTCAAAGGATCACGTCACTCGTTGTTCAAACAAAATAAACGTATCTCTTGTACTGAACTTAGTTAAAGTAGTTAACGACGGATCTCACTATGGAGGATGGATACGATTTAATTTCGTGTCCGGGAGTGCGAGTAACGTGATACCCATGACGAACACACGATTCGTTCAATTTGACAGATTAGACAACGAATAATGAGGATAAAACAAAACTACAAGGATCAAAATGCAAACAGAAAACAAGCTGTGAGGACGAAAATATAAATAGAGAATAGAGAGCGTTTAAAATTTATAATTTTAAAGAAAAAGGGGGATAAAAATGGACGTGAGACGCATCACTGACATCTGAGCGGAGCAGAAGGTCGAGTCTCCATCACATTCGTCTCCTTGTGCCGCGAAACCCGGACTACAGTCCCCTCCACGTCCCTGCTGGGTCCCATCACACCTCCTCATGATGGCATTTCCCTCTTTGATATTTGATCCCCTGCTACGCCTGCCTACACTACTATTCCTGCTCTATTCTCTTCTAATCATCACTAGGGTTTATAAATTCTTCACCAGACACGTGATATTAGCAGTCTTACCCCCTGGTCCCCCGAGAAGGTTCGGATCATTTTTGTGAAGATGTCGAGAATCCTTTAATTATATATGTTCATTGTATATCGTGTAGTTAGTTTTTGTTAAATATTATATATATTCAATTTTAAATAAAAAATTTACATTAATTTCTAATCGCATGATATACGATGAACATATGTAATTTAAAAATTCCCAATATCTTCACAAAGAAAATCCGGCGAGAATTCTCACTCGTCTTACCCTAACATAGATTTTTGGGAAACTTAAGGAAAAACTACCAGTACTGTTCACTTTAATAAAAAAAAACATTTTTAAACTAAAAAATCCATCATGATACTATTCACTTTACCATTTATTTTATCTTTATCATTAGAGCTCAAAATTTTCAAATATTTTTCTTTAATTTTCCTAAGATTTTTCTATTTATTCACAATACAGGCTGATACATTACATATTATAATATAAATGTTGGAACGATATATGTTTTATTGTTTCTTCATCTTTATAATGAATACTGCAAACCGATTTAATCGAGTTAAATATTTTTAGGAATAGGACAAGTTGATTGGCCCATGATTTCGTGTGTAAAAAAGATAAAATTACTCTTAAAGCATATCGAAACTTCTATGCGCAAGCAGCAGACAATCACAATTCAATCAAGATCAAAAGTGATCAAAATATGTAATTATTCAAAACACATTTCATCCATCCTCATCATATCCTTCCCACAAGGTAACTCTCAAATTATTTCTTTCAAATTATATTAATTGGATAATTAATTGATTTATTACTCAATTAATTCATTAATTAACTAATGAATTGTGAATCACACCCAAAAAAACCACTAAAGTGGCCGGTTCCTATCTCTCCCAAAGGGGCCGGCCACACCCTATAAATACCACCCAATTTTCTTAAAAAAAAAAAAACCAAGTTCAACACTCTTGTAAAATTCTTCAAATTCTCTAAACATTTTTTCTCAAATTCTAACCTTAGCATCAGAGGTTCTTCGGCCAAAGTCTCCTCATTCATCGTGAGCGCGTGAGACTCTTGGTATTGACCAAGGATGTTAATTGTTTTGTAAGTGCAATTTTGTCAAAAAAAAACAAAAGATGGAAATTTACATCTACACTCTCTTCACCTCCAAAACCGGTGTGAATGATATAATGCTTTACCTAATAAAACTTACACATTACGTTATATGATTAGCAAAAAAAGCCACAGTAACAGAGTATCGTACCATAAGTCCTTGTCGTTCTTGTGATGAGATGGGTTCGTAGGGTAGGGTGCTAATTAATACGGTGTGAGATAAATATGCAGAAGTAGAAGCATCAAAACAACCCTAGCTATAGCCCTGTCTCTTCTGGGAGGATCCTGATGTTAATGGATTTGGAATCTGAGGATTTTCTCTCAATTCGTTCTTGATATCTTTAACGGACGGTCAGATATGCAGCAAGCACGGGTGCTCTTAATTGCATTACAAAACAAAAAACTAAATAAAACAAGCATAATTGAAAATAAATGTTGAGATTAAAACATTAAAGATACTCTCATCTATAAGTAACCGTAAACATTCTTTGGTCACTTCAAAAAAAAAAAAAAAAACATTTCTGTTTAATTCGCACAGGCGAACATGAGTTACGTGGAATAGTGTAGTCATTGTGCACTACAGATATGCTGAATCACCTTAATACTATACATAATGTTGAAGTTTCGGTCCTCAATAGCCGATCTCAAATTCTAGTCTAAACATGCTTTGAAAATGAAATTCCAGATTTTGAGTTGTTTTAGAGAGGAGGGTTTAGAAGGGAAATATTTTTAATCACCATTTTCAAGTAATGACGATGTTTATCACCGTATTTTTTATTATTATATGAATTTAAATTTTAAGATATTTGTAATTGTTAAATACAAATTTTCAAATTAAACTTATCAAATGATAATAAATAGGATGATGAGTATTATCGGATGATGATGCGTAGAAATGCAGCCGAATTCAAAAACCTTCACCTGCTAAATGACAGGTGCAATGATATGGCCCGCAACCCATATGCAGTTGTATTGGTGATTGGGAGAAAAGATCTCTTTCACAAAGACTACCGAATCAAGTAATTTGAATTTTTGAAATTTTATCTCACGGTCTACTTGTTTTAACTTATTAAAAGCTATAATAATTTTTTACCGTTAAATAAAATTTCAAAAATCCGACTCACTTGATCTAGTGGTCTTGGTGAACGAGAACCATTAATTATGGCCATTAAATTTAACCGTGCGGCCATGAAACCAAAGGATAAAGGGTATAAGCGATGAAATCGTCCAACCATGAAACTAGAGGGGAAAAGATGCAGGCGATGGGAGAGGAAGGAGGGAATGGGGGTGGGATGACGACAGTCATGGCGGTGGGTGACTGGTGAGTAGTGAAGATGTGAAAGTGAAGGAGAAATTCTGCTACAACACAGGGTTCGGTGAGGAAGAGCCGAATTTGGCCGTCGAACTCCTTGTCGCTACGTACTTGGTCGGTGGTGTCAATCCTCTTACTCGGAACTACTGCAAGCAAGAAGGGGAGAGAATTCAGGAATGTGAGTGTTGTGCGTGAAAAATTAAAAGAAATTTCTAACCATAAGATCTATTTTAAACGATTAGGACTTGCTGATCTTCCGGATAATAATGGCATGTAAATTGAAGTAAATTGTGAAGTGACAAAGAGTTGATGAAGAATTTCACTTACTAAAGAGTCCACCTAACATTTCTCCTCAGCAAACCACTTATAGACCAAAAAGGGCCTAAGGTGCCAGTGCCATTGATTCACTCACCAAATTCGACCCCAGTTGTAGTGTGTCTGTTTCCATAATTTGACGTCCATGTAATGCAGTGTAATGATATGTTATATAATTATTATTTGTTTGGCAAACATTAAATGATTCAAAATAAAGTAAAAATATTATGTTGCTGGAGAGTATGCCAAATGCTGCTTGAGTATTAACGCAAGAAAATAAAATAAGCTTAATTGATCAATATCAAGGCCCAATTATGCATGCTATCTTCATCCGACTTTGTACATCTTTCCTTTCATTAATGAATATTGTATTTATTCTTAAAAAGTTGTCTATAACAATGTATTATTTGCATTCATATTTAAATTTAAATTTTTATAATTTAAAAGAATTTAACGTGAATTATCTTATTATAAGTAAATAAAAAAAAATTAACGTAGGAAGATTTGCATGACACATGAATGATATATGATGTGTAATTGCAGGTACTAGTATTGTATAGTTAGTTAGAAGGGAAGAGGAAATGCTAACCCTAAACCTAATCATCATGTTCTTATAGTACTCCCGCAAAACACTACATGCGGTGGGTGGCGCAATATAAGCGCTGGAATCGAGCGCGTACGCGTCTCCCTCTGCCTCCTACATTATTATTCATCCACCAGTCAGTCACTCACATTCTCTCTCTCTCTCTCCTCTCTTTGTTTCTTTCTCTCTCTCTACACAGCAGCAGCAGGAGCCCAGCAGCTTTTTGTGTGTATGAATTTTGAACTGTCGTTGAGGCTTGCCGACGGTGGTGGTGGAGCTCAAACAAACACAGCAGCATAAATCTTGCTTTTCTTTTCCTTTTCTATTTTTTAAAATTTAATAATATTTATTTGTTTGATTTTAGTTGAATTAAATTCCCCCTAATAGAAATAAAAACGACGTCATCGGCTGTATTTGCCTCCTTGGCTCTCCATTCGCGTGCCCTCCTTTTACGCTCTTTGTCAGATTTCTCCCCTCCTCTTCGTTCGTCTCATCCCATCTCTCTCTCTCTCTCTCTCTACATATAAGTCTCGTCTCTTCTGTCCGTTTTCTTCACTTCTCTCTCTAGCCCGGGATTTTTTTTCTCTCTCTAGGGTTGTTTTTGGAGTTTGAGCTCTCTCTCTCTCTCACCCTTTTCTCTGTCTGTTTCAAGAACACAGAAAGATCAAGTCTTTCTCTATTTGATCATCATCCCAATTCTCACTGTTATCAGTCAGGCGGGGATGCGTCGTAGACGAAGTCTGGTTCCGTCGTGCACTTAAGCAGAAATGTAAGTCTCCCTCTCTCTCTCTCTCTCTCTCTCTCTCTCTCTCTTATCCTCCTAATTTCCGGATTTCATATAATTTTGCAAAAAGTTCCGTACTTTATGGCTTAAAAGTTTTGATTTTCTTCGACTCTGCAATTTGGTTAGTGGGGTTATGAGGAAAATCATTATCTTTTACCGAAACAAGATATTGGGTTGTTCTTAGTTTTATCTGCAATTAGTCTCTATTTTATTTAAAACTGAAAGAAGTGCTTTTTAATTGTTTTGCTGGTTTTCTTTTGACGAAACTTTGCTGTAATAGACTGATTTAGTGGCAATTGTTTTGCATGGTTTGGTTGATGATTGGAATTTACTGATTTTTAAGTGTGTTGTCTCATTTTTTATATTAATTCTTGTACTTTGATATGTTGATGAATTTGATGGGGGTAGGAAAGTAAATGTGTGGTAAATTTTATCATATTTATTGATTAAATTTTCATGATGGTAAATTAGAAATAAAAAAAAACACACTCGATAATTATAAGTTTTATACTAAAACGCTGTTCTCTTGTGATGCTCTAATTGATTCTTAGTTGTCGAATTTCATTCGGTGTCATTCTCCCATCATTAAGTCTATTAATTTTGGAGCGTTTTTCTTTAAAGTCTGATATATTCCTGGGCTTAAATGTGATTTTAACCCATTTTATGAATCTGAACTTCGAAACAGAAAAGAAAAAGAAAAAGAAAAAGAGAAAAATCTCAATTGGGTTATTCCCCTACCATAAGCCATAGAGGTTGTTTGACTTGTTAATTGGTTGATCATTGACACTCAAAAGTGTCGTGTCACTTTTGAGTGTTTTTAGTTGTTGGAATTTTGGAAAGAATTAAATAAACTACCCTAACATCAACATTGGATAGCTAAAAACCTCTATCCGCTGCCCAAACGTGAATATCAGTTTTCATTTGTCACCTTGTTTCTGAGCAATTGGGTTTCTTGATTTGATTTCATAAGATCAACTTTTGAGCATTGCTTGTTAGATGGCTGGTGAAGGCACTAGGAATTTACGGAGTTTCTTTGTTTTCTTGTCTTAAAAGCATGCATCGGTGATGAAATTGTTGTTGTGGTTTCAAAAGGAGCATGCAAGTAGTTGCTGCAATTTCATTCCTTTAAAGAAAATTGATTGTTTGATGCAGACAATAGCCTCATTATTTCGATCAGGTGGTTGGTGTATCTGCTTCTTGTGTTTCATAACATTAGCTATTTTAGTTTCTTCCCATCCAGATGTTAATTTCATTTTGGACGTTAACATGTCATTGCATCACAGTAGAAGATGGACTAATATAGCGACTTGTTGATTCCAGATACATTATGAGGAGTTTCGGTTTGAGGCAATGGACAGTTATACTTGCTCCTGGAAATGAAGGAGAGACAACGTTGGAGTGCTGAAGAGGACGCTTTATTAAGTGCATATGTGAAGCAATATGGACCAAGGGAGTGGAACCTTGTATCACAGCGCATGAACACACCCCTAGACAGGGATGCCAAATCTTGCTTAGAAAGGTGGAAGAATTATCTCAAACCTGGCATTAAGAAAGGATCCCTAACGGAAGAGGAGCAACGCCTTGTCATTTGTCTTCAAGCCAAACACGGAAATAAGTGGAAGAAAATTGCTGCTGAAGTCCCTGGTCGTACGGCTAAGAGATTGGGCAAGTGGTGGGAAGTGTTCAAAGAGAAGCAGCAGAGAGAACAGAAGAATAACAAGACAGCTGACCCTATTGTGGAGGGTAAATACGATAGAATTCTTGAAACTTTTGCTGAGAAGTTAGTGAAGGAGCGTGCTGCCCCAACCTATCTCATGGGTACTTCAAATGGGGCCTATCTTCATACCGAAACGTCATCTCCAGCACCAACGATTCTTCCTCCTTGGCTTTCTAATTCCAATGTGTCCTCCAATGTGAGGCCACCATCTCCTTCTGTTACCCTGAGCCTGTCCTCGGCAGTGGCACCCTCTCCTCCAATCCCTTGGCTGCAGCAGGATAGAGGATCAGATAGTAGTTTTGTTTTTGGGAATTTGCCCCATCATGGGGTAGTTCCTGCTTCTGGGGAGAACTTAGTGATATCCGAGTTGCTGGAGTGCTCCAGAGAGTTGGAGGAAGTGCACCGTGCTTGGGCAGCGCATAAGAAGGAAGCATCGTGGAGGTTAAGAAGGGTGGAGTTGCAACTGGATTCAGAGAAGGCTAGTCGGAGGAGGGAGAAGATGGAAGAGATTGAAACGAAGGTAAAGGCTCTAAGGGAAGAGCAAAACGCTGCTCTTGACAGGATCGAAGCAGAATACAGGGAACAATTAGCAGGGCTAAGGAGAGATGCAGAAGCGAAGGAGCAGAAGTTGGCTGACCAATGGGCCGCAAAGCATTCGCGTCTCTCCAAGTTTCTCGAGCAGATGGGAGGCAGACCAATGATTGCTGAGCCTAATGGTCGGTGAGAAATATGTGTTATACATGTTCATTGTGGACGTGTATGATGTCCGAATTTCTGTTTTCTGTTGTCTCTTTTCTTTCTTTTGATCTCGTATGTATTCTCTTCAGAAATGCTGTCATAGGTGTCTAATTGCTTATACCGACTGCCTATAGGCCTGGACTGAAGGACTGTATTATCTTTTCGCAGCTATTACAATTATATTTTTACTTGTTTCTCGAAAACTTATGCTTCCTTGTTAAAAACTAACTGAAAATGATCTAGCTCTTTGTTTTAATCAAATCTAACTACGAGGAAGGGGATTTGAACTCTTCATATTACAAGGACAAGTCTAACCGGGCATTGAGTATCCTTTATTTTTTAGGAAACTAATAAAAATGATTTGAAAATTTTGAGTTTTAACGATAAGAATAAAATAAAGGATAAAGTGAATAGTACTAGGATTGACTTTTTAGTGTAAAAATGTGGTTTTTCATTAAAGTAAACAGTACATGGAGTTTTTCGTTAAAGTTTTCTTTATTTTTTTGGGTAAGGATATTGAGTATTGAGTATCCTTTGTTGGGTTTCCACAGCGGACTCCATACATCTATCCGTAGCCTGGAGTCTTTTTCTTCTTTTGAATGTCTAATTAGAGGAGGGTTTTGATGACGACTGATAACCATCCATGTAGTGTTGGAAAGAAAAAAAAGAAAACTTTCTTGGGCATATAATCACTATTGTTCTCACTGATCACATCGTACTCGTGCATGCAATCACTTAATAAACTCACAAACATTAACGACTGATAGCTATTCATGTAAACATGCAAAAATAACTTTTCTATGTTGATAGTATAATAACTATTGCCTTCTCAATCATCACATCGTGCATGAAATCACTTATAAACCCACAAACAATAACGATGAATAACCATACAAGTAAAAATATGCAGCAAAAAACTTTCATATGTTGGGAATATAATCACTATTGCTCTCTCCTTGTAAACCTAGATAATGACACACCTCGATCCAGAATGTTCACATAGACTCCGAATCGAGCTATGCTGGCCGACACCTAGAAGGTGACGAAGCCATAAAGTGTAGTGTGGTGGAATATGTAAATAAGTTTAAACCTAAAAGTGACTAAATATAAGAGTGCGGTGTGAGCGGGAATGAACCTATTTCACACGTGATGTCAGAGTATAAGTATAGTATAGTAAGATAGGGTGAGAATTATACCATTGAAGGTAATCATCTACACCAAGATTTTCCAAGAATCCTTGTCGATAAGAAAGCTCTCTTACTAAAACCTGGAGGGGCGAAAAACAAAGGTGAGTGTTCCTGAAAATAAAGTTTTATAAAAACTTTTCTGAAAACATTGTAACCCCTCGCCGTAAAATAAGTATAGTTTCCAAAATATACTTACTACGTATAGTATAAAAATACTTACCATAGCCTGCAAAATCTCAAGAACTCATTACTGCACAATATCTTGTAACTAAGGGCAGGACATCCAAAACACAAAATCTCAACAGTAATATAAGTAAAATAAGCTGCTCATCAATCTATTCTAGCACACAAGTCGGAATCGCCTAATGAGACCTGTATGACTGAACTGATGCTCATCAATCTATGCTAGTACATAAGTCGGAGTCGCCTAATGCAACTTGTACGACATGATTGGGTGTAATCATAATATACGCTTTAGTGCTACAATAACGTGAAGACTGACGCTATTCACGGTCACATATGAGTCGGAATTGCCTAATGCAACCTGTACGACAGGACTGACACCTACTTGGATCCAAGGTGAGCGTACGGTGTGGAGGTGAACATACACGTGAAAGATTGGTCCTGGCCCTAGGTGAGCACTAACACCGGGGTGTAGCAATGATGAGCAGACTACATAAATATTAGCATGCCACATTGATTTGATAATTCTAATCAACATACTAACATTCATAGCCGTAGATATAATTATGGCATCAAAGATTATAAGTATACCTATGCATCCCATAGGATGTAACATATTTCATAAATTCCATCATTTTGCTAATTCTTATAAACTTTAGTCTAATCCAAATGTACATAAGAAATTCTTTTTCAAATGCATAACTGGAAACTATCAATCATACACACACACACACACACACACACACACACACACACACACACACACACACACACACACACACACACACTATAAAAAGGAAAAGACCCACTCACTTGAAGTCCGCGCTACAACTCCTAATACCAATATCGAGGCGTCATGAACGATCCTCGCATAGAACAAATATCAAATAATGTCTCAGAATTCTTATCGATAAAACACGGAACTTACATAAAACATATCCCTAAGGACATTCTAGAATGATTTGTAACCCATTGACCAAAAGTCAATTGTCGGTCAAAGGTCGACGATAGGGTCCACAACCCTATGTAACTCGATCTAAAAGATTTTCACCTTGAATTTCCTATCCGTAACTTCCCAAGAGTCTCAATAAGCTTCTAGAACAACCTTCTAAAGTTTCGAAATGATCCAACGGTCGGATCTTCACCAATCACTAAAATTAAGTGGCGGTCGACATTTAGATTTACAAATTTAGAAAACCCATCCGGGAAGATCCGTACGTCAGATTCCTAATCCATCAGTTCTTAATATCCTTAAATATTATGTACAATTACATATTAAAGTTTGGTGTGATCCAATGGTTGGATCGTCGAATTATATAATAACCAAGTGGTGGCCCTTAACGGAAATATAACCAAACAACGGATTTTCGTCAATCGGATGTCTACTATGGAATTGGGGCACCCATTTTAGCATAGGGAGGTCAAGTGGTGTCTCTGCCCATGCGCCGCCCTGACTTGCCGAAAAATTCAAATATTTCAAAAAATTCTCAAATTTTACGGGAATGTAGATCTCAATGAGTGGAGCTCTTATACATGTGGCCAAGTCCAATTTGGCTGGGAAAAGTTTCAAATCGCCATGAACCCGCCGAAACCCTAGAATTTGGGTGTTCCTCAATTCGTTGAAATCGTAGCTCCGCCGCCCCCAAACTTATTTGGGCTTTGATCTAGGTCTCAAGAAGAGTTGAACAAGGGTGGTGATTGACGGTAGCACCTGCAGAAATGGCGGAATTGCCGCTGACACCCGTGAATCCCATCGGGGAGTTTTCCACCAAATTAAAACCAAATTCCTTCTAATTTTGGGTGGAAATGAAGAGGGAAGGCTAAAGAATTGTTTCTAGGTAATGGTTTACCTTGATTTGCTAGAAGAACGACGAGAAAGTCGCTGGATTCCATGAATCTCGATGGGTCGGGTCGAAGAAGAAAATAGAGCAAGGGATCCGGTGTCCCTCCCCTCCCCACCTTTCTCCTCATTTCCTCTTTTCCCATTGGGCAGCATTCTTCCTCTCTTCTCCCAATTGGTTCATCCCTCTCTTCTCTGATTGGGCAACCCTTGCTTTCCCTTCTTTCTCCCCTTTTTCTTGCTGCTCTCTGGCAGTGTCTCATATGTTTTTTTTTCTTTCAACTTCTTTCCATCTCAGCCACACATGTGGCACAAGATGATGCTCCAACAAAAAAAATCAATGCATTTACCTCAAGGGCATTTTCATAATTTCACTAATTTAAAATCAATAAAATCGTTAAGTTAGGGTCGGGTTATCACATATATTATCACATATAATGTCTATAAAGTACACTTCATAAGACCATAGAACAATCACGAGCAATTGTAATGCCTCAGGTTCCTGTTTGGTTTCTGTTAATGCTGATGCACGTCTCAACTACCTTTGGGATTCCTAATAATGTTTGGTATTTTGGTACGGTTTGAGAAATAGATCAATTATGAAGCAAGTGGTGTTCCCCTCCATTCACAGAGAGGTTCATACATATAAGGTTGCTTCCTTCCTCCTTCAACAAAATTAATTGATTCAAATTGAAAAATCCAATTGCAGAAATCTAAATCCAGAGACAATCAAAATTGCGGATACCCTAATTTTCACAAACCAAAAAAATGAACCACAGAAAAATAAATTTTAAAAAAACCCCTAGATTTTGATTCTTGAAATACCAATCTTAATTCAAAAAATAATTCGAAGCAAAACCCTAGATTTCGAAAATAATTTGAAATAAATACCTCGATTTGGGGCTTCAGAGTTGCTCGATCGATCGATCGAGAGAGAGAAAGAGAGAGAGAGAGAGAGAGAGAGAGAGTCAGAGAGAGAGTGGAAAGAGATTGTAGCAGGCGTGTCCCTGTGTGTGTGGTTTGCTTGTGGTATGGTTGAGAAAGAGGTATGATGTGGTGGTAGTCGGAGTTTAGACTTGGAGAAGTTGGGCGAAGTTAAAACACTGATTGATTCTGAAGCAGACCTTAAATGTATAAATGAAGGAGTTTTACCCACAAAGTACTTCTCAAAAACTTTACACAATCTTCAAAATGCAACTGAACATCCAATGAGTATTCAATACAAGTGTCAGATTTAGATGCTTCAAGATGAGGTGTGTTTTGAAACACCTTTTTTTAACAGTACAAGGTCTAAACCATGATGTGATTTTAGAAACTCCCTTTATTAACATGTACCCATTTAAAGTTTCTAAATAGGGCATAGAAACTAAAGTTGAAGGTACTAAGGGAAATTTTGAATTCTCTAGAGAGGCCTAGACACAGTATGTTAACTCCATACAAAAAAAAAAAAAATCAATATAAAGAAAAATTCATTTGTTCTTTGAAAGAAGAAATACATTTTAAAAGGACTAAAAAACAACTTACTACTAAAAGGTCGTACCCAGTGGCGGATCCAGGATTTTAACTTAGGGTGGTCCCAATATAAAAGTTCCAAAAAAAAAAAAAAACAAGACGAAAATATCATTGAACAAATAAATGGCAAACTACAAATTTCATTCATAATCTTTGTGCTAAACAACCTAGAAATACTAAATTTGTCCACGACGGGATCTCATACTTTGAAAACGTGTCATGATAGTTTCATTGTCAATACAAGAAAAAACATCTTTCTCAATATAAACAACTAAGCTATCATTTAACCATTGATCCCCCATTCTGTTGCGGAGTGGACTCTTAATGATATTCATGGCAGAAAATGCTCTCTCCACTGAAGCAGTTGCAACAGGTAAAACCAAAGCCAATTCAATAAGTAAATACACATATTGAAATACTCGATGTAACCTTTTTTCCACCATTTTCTTAGCAAGATCACTAATGCTTTGCAACTGAGAAA